CCCCCCTCCAGGCAGGGAAGTCAAACGAACTGCATTGCGATCATGTAATTCCAAGTTTGCTATTGTTCTGGCTCAGTTTTATTCCCTTGCATGTTGCCCAGAGTCTCCACTACTGGAGCGATGTATAAATATTGTTAAATAAATTAAAACATAGAGTTTTTAAACATCAAATCACAATGGTGGAAAAAACAAAAACAACCCCCCCCCCCAAATTAAATGGCCCTCTTCAGAAGGGGGAAAGAAGGTAGAAAGTAAACAATATCTTTTAAAAAGTGCAAATGCTACATATGGTATACATAATTGTAGTATGTATATACATAATTTCCTCTCCACACTACCCTTTGTAACACAAATGACTGGAATGGGATGAGTAAAACAGGAAGGAATTGCCAACGAAAAGCTGCTTCTAACCAGACCAAATAAAATCAATGGCATTTAAGCTAATCAGAACTAATTTGTCCTGGGGGTAGACCTGAAGCTCAACTGAATCTGGCCCACAGAGTTTATTCATGTGAAAAGAAACGTGTCTTGCAACACATACAGATTGCATCTTTCACTGCCCTCTTTGCAGCGCTTACCTATTGAACAGAAACAGGTCCCCAGGTGTGAAATACACGTCAAGAGACCAAGGTGTTCACATATAAAAGTCTTACCAGTCAAGAGTTTGAGAAACATAATTTAAAGATTAAGAAATTCACACTCTAGTATGGCTTCAGACTAACAATCACTGACCCCGAAAAGCTGCCTGGCCTGTAGCTGTGGCATTTCTAGCTGACCCTCCCAACGGTAATTAACGGCTTCGCCACTTCATTAGTAAAACTAGAACAAAAACTACACAAACCATAGTAAACTAATTCACCAAAAGCAACAGCCATTCTCTTTCTCTCAATAAAAAAAGGTGGAATTTCAGAAAAGACAATTCATAAGGTAGTCCTTGCTTACCAACTGCCTCATTTAACGACCAAAATTACAAAGGTGTAAAAAAAAACTTTGTGACCAATCCTTGCATTTACGACCATCACAGCATCCTGCAGTCATGTGATCGCCATTCGCATGCTTCGCAACTGGCTTGCAACAAGCAGAGCTAACAGAGAAGGCAGAAGTAAAATCATAAGTCATGGTCATGTGATATTTCGCTTAATGACTGAAGGGGAAGTGAGGTCGTAAGCCCGCACCGTCATGGGGTTTTCTGCCAGTCCCAATTGTGGCTGTTAAGTGAGGACTTGAAGAAAAGGAATTCCACACATAACACAACAGGGAAGAAATCTCTAGATCAGCCTCTACCAATCCAGAGGCAAAGATTTCACCACCCACAATTCTAAGCAATGATCACCCAGCTAGAGAATTCTGGGAGCTGACACCCGTTAGGAAAGGCTGGGCTTGGCCATGCGCAGTGAATCCCCACCATTTCTTGCCGTCTAATCATCCTCTGGATTTCTGCAGAGCAGATCTGGCAGAGTATCGTAACATCTATAGCAAGAGAGGGGTCATCAGGGATACCTCTTTGCATCTAGCAAAATGCTACGGAATTTGCCTGCTAACAGCCCCTGGAAGGGCTGAACGTAGCCTCGCAGGCCTGCCTTGTGCAACATGCTTATTTTGGTTACTTAATTAACCCATTTTCTGGGTTTGCACAATATGCCGAAACAGAAGCTGGGTATATGTAGCGCACTAAGCCAATGGAGCAACTAAGATTAAAACTAACCAGATTTATATTATGCGGATGCAGCTGTAGGGCTAACTGATATCAAGTGTATGTCAATGTAGCCCAGATGCTTATGACAAATTAGACCTTTTCCTACGTGGAAAATTATAATACTTGGGGGCTGATCATACTAACTCTGTATTTAGTTTAGTTTCATTCGATTGAAAGTTCAGTGAAATGAAATCAATTTTAGTTTTTCTCATCCTCTCCTCCACTCCTCTCTCCTGGATCCACCTACACATTGGAGTATATTCTGCCCTAAATGCCACAAAAAGTTAAGTGTGGCCACTGAGCTGAGAAAAGCATTGCGTTCTGCGCTCAGAGGGACACTACAAAAGCATCGAACCAGCCAGCCGTTCGTGACTATTGCACTTCAGTTCCTACCATTCCCAGCCCAAAGGGCTGAGGGCCATGCTACGAAGAGGACACTGGTTCAACACATTACCCTCGTCTGCTGTGACAGCGGCAAATAAATTTGTGTAAAAATTTGTGTATACTCCCCCGCCCCCCCAAGAACACCCTCTCTCTCCCCTTCCTGAAATTACCTTTTTGCAGTGAAAATAATCTTTGAAGTGTTTGGCGAAGTACCACCTTTTCTTTTAACCATTCTTCTCCAATCTTCGCTACATCTACAATAGCAGAGAAGTGCCCGTAGGGTCTTATTAGAATGAAGCTAAAACAACTTCTATCTGTATTAAAACCAGCGAATCTCACAGGCTGAAACTCAACTTTCCTTTTGATTCTACCAGAATTCAGATCCTGCTACCCCAAGAAATCTCTTCTCCCAGCTGGGAACCCAAATGTTGCTTCTGGATTCTGATTTGCATGTTTCCGTCGTTAATCATCCTAAATCTGCAAAATCAATTCCGTTCATTTCATTTTGGGCAGGCCCTATGGCCACGCCAAAAGAAACACAAAATAAGAGCATTCAATCCATTGTGTTAAATATCACTGAGGCTCCTGCCCCACATTCCCACCCCAAGTTTCTTTCTCTGTTCTATGTAACATCACCTTTAGAAATTGTTATGTACAGTATTTTTTCAGGATGGATGAGTCTGTTAAATGGCATTCAACGAAATAGATTTCAACACGACAGGACTAAATAACAGTTCAAATACTAACAGCCAGTCCCTTTTCTGTTATAATAAATAGTTAAAGTGCACAAAGCTATATAAGGATTGTTCAAGAGTGGGGAGAGTCCCCATTTTTCTCCTCTGTTGGAAAAGGCAAGAGAAATAAAACTGTTCTTCCTTTTCAGGTGGCCAGCAGGTCAATTCCATTAAGTCAACTGGCAGTTTTGCCTCTGGCTTAGGTTTTTAAAAAATATTTATGTCAACAAGTTGGTGGATACGGCGGCCTAGCAATGCTCGCTGGTTCAGATACTAAATGGTTCTTCCAGGTTTAGGGGCCACGTAGGTCCACGTAAGAGACTTAAACAAACAACAGAGGGGTGCTATTGCCTTGAAATAGGCTTGCTGGAAGCATCTGGAAGTCTGCACTGGAAGCAAAATTCTGAATAGGTGGGCCCGACCCAGCGCGGCAATTCCTCTGCTCACTTATTTACTTTCTAAAATGCCTTCGTTTCCCTATAGAAAAAGCTCTGAGGGTGACATAAATGAACTTCTGCACAATGCTTCTCAGAGGAATGGGATGTTCTCACAGGGTTAAGGCCAACCCAGACAGGTCATTCCCTGAAGACATGAAGACTCAGCAAACTCAAGGTGCTATAGAGGTGGTTAAGAAGTCAGTCTGTGGTCCAACAGGTGAATTAAAAGAAAGATCTGCAAATCACATTGCCTTGTTTTCATGTGCAGCTTGAGATTCTCTCTGGTACATGGCTGCATGTGGCTAATTCCCTTGGGCAACAGGTCCCATCGAAACATTGCCAAGGACCATGCAATGTAGTATTCTTAGATCAGTTGGAGAACAGCAGAAAGGTTTCTTCTTCCTTTGCAACTTACAGGACATTCCCTTCATTTAATAATACATGATCAGAACCACCTTCCTTGTCCATGATTTTCTTGCTTTGCTAACGCAAGCCCCCTTTGAAAATTTGACACCAGCCAACACAAAGGACGTTCCCAGTATGTGGCCCAGATGAACAGGCACCTCCACTTTACAGCTGCAAAAGACCTCCTGCGGGTCCTAGGTTAGTTTCCTGATTCTGCGGTTCTGCCTGTCAATGTTCATGGTGGCTCGATCCACAGAAGAAGTAATGACATCCAGGCTTTCATCCTGACGTTCCAGCTCCGTTTCTGTTTCCAAGGCCAGACACTTGAGTCTCCGAAGGATCTGTTAAGAGAATTGATTGCAACTGCAGTCACTGATATGTCAGCCCTCCTTCCCGTATGACTTTCTATCAGTGACATTTCCCTGCCAGAAATAAGCCCAAGGAATAGTAAACAGAGAAAAAGAGAGCCAGTGTGGTCTAGTGGTGAAGGCCCCAGGCTAGAAAGCAGGAGACGGTGAGTTCTAGTCCTCCCTTAGGCATGCAAGCTGGCTGGGTGACTCTGGGCTGCTCCCTCTCTCTCAGCCCAACCCACCTCACAGGGTCGCTGTTGTGGGGAAAATAGGAGGAGGAAGGAGTATGAGGTACAGTCAGGTCCAGAAATATTGGGACATCGACACAATTCTAGCATCTTTGGCTCTATACACCACCACAATGGAT